CACGAATTAAGCGACAAATCACTCGATGCATAAATAATTCCCCCTCCCCTGTCTGCCACGAACTGCAATTTAGCGACAACTTTTGGCACAGTGCGGCCAGCGATTTTCACGATTTCCCAACCCACCAAAAAAAAACAGACCAAGCCCCTCGCCCCCCTTGGGCATTTTAATTAAATTAGTTCATTTTCATTTTATTGATATTTCGCGCACACACAGAGATTTTTCGGCGACAGCCGCAAGGCAGCCGCAAAAGTGCGAAGGCCGTTACGCAGATGGGTCAATATAAATATATATATATAGTAAAAATATATATATTTATAAGCTGAGCATGCTCAGTTAAATACCCTAAAATTGCTTACTTATTTCCATTTAAAAATGTTGGAAAAACATCTTCTAAATATGTTTTATTTTCACTTAAACTGAGGTGGTAAAATACCCTAAAATTGCTTACTTATTTCCATTTAAAAATGTTGGAAAAACATCTTCTAAATATGTTTTATTTTCACTTAAGCTAAGGTGGTTAAATACCCTAAAATTGCTTACTGATTTCCATTTAAAAATGTTGGAAAAACATCTTCTTAATATGTTTTATTTTCACTTAAGCTGAGGTAGTTGAAAATCCAAAAAAGGAAAGGAAAGGAAAATAATGTTTGAGGAAACCCCAAGGTAATTTGTAGAGAAAGCAAAACCATTGGGCCTGGGCTCATCCTTAGCCTGATTTGTGTTATTTTTTGGCCTCAGCAGCCGCCTAATTGAGTTGAGTTTATTAGTTGGCTCCCGGCCTGTTCCTGGGAAGCCCTCTATATGCAGTTGCCAGGAGCAACACGGAGGCGGAAGGTAATGTCCATCTGATGGACCCAAGGAACTGGACACCATCGCCTCGATAACTGCTCTAGCCTTTGGCCAATTCTGCTGAGTTATGGCCTTGACTGTGGAAGTTAGATGAATGCTGCTCCAAGTCCTGCTCCTGCTCCTGCTCCTGCTCCTGCTCCTTGTCCTGGTCCTGCTCCAGCTCCTTGTACAGATCCCGCTCCTTTTCCTCCTTTGACAGCTGCCTAATTCGCATATTTCATGTATACATACAGCTTCATGTTGTATAATTTATGAATCCATTTCCATTTCGCTGTAGAGTTGCGCCTGGGGTCCTCCTGTTTTTGCGTATTCACTGAGCCGGCGGTGCTTCCTTCAATACCTGGAACTCCTTTTAGTCCTGCGAAGGAAGTAACCCCCCTTAAAATGGGGGAATGCCGGGAAAGTTGTTGAAATAAAAGTGATAAATAAATACACTCAAGTTGCTTCTGGATATGGAAACAAATAAACTTTTGCTCGATGTATGATGATGACATTGAGTGCTGGAATGAAACTTGTTCAAAAAATAACAATTAAAAGGTGAAAGTATTCATTAGAATCAACAGATTGTTATTGTAATTTGAACAACAAAGTATTGTATCTATAAATGAATAATAGAAACCATAACAAGCACACACAACACACAGTCATTCATCAAACAAAAAACCCGTTTGCTTAAATACCAAAAATATGCTCGCCAGGCATCCTTTTGCCTGTGTCTCAGTCTTTCAAATATCAATTGAATTTTCGAATTCCCCGGAAAAGCCGGAAGCCCCTCTCATTGGTATGCGTTGTGTGTGTTTCGAGCTTGTTGCTTTTCTCTGGTAGACACACACACACACATGCCCCCGCACATCCTGCCAGGATATACTATATACTCACCATATTCCCTCGGGGCCATTTGCTGCCGTGAGATTATTGTTATTTCGGGGATTGTTTTCCCACCTGCATGGCGCGGCCTTGCGTTTAAGTTTGATTTTAGCGTTAATTACGCATACGCACTGCGGTCCACAGACCCAAAAGTCGTCGTCACTGTCGTTGTCGTTGTTGTCTCATTAAAGCCAAGCCAACGCTGTAGCCCCGAAAGAGGGCCAAAAAGCAATTAAGCTGCAACAACTGGCCACCGGTGGCAATTTTGACCAAATTCGCAATGGCCACTATCCAAGAGCCCGGCTCACATTCGATTGCACACCACACTTGGGCATTGGGCCTGGCCAACAACTGGTTAGAGCCCCGGCTTTGGACTTGGCTTGGATCTGGGTCTGGTGCTGCAGGCAATTAAGCACTTCTGGCCCACTAAATTCGAACAAAAAAACCTGGCCTCTGGCCCTGCCTTTATCTTTTCCCGATTTTTCTGTGTTCCTAACAAACAACAACAAGTGGTGAAGGTAATCTGAATTATGACCAAAATTTATATTGTGTCATGAAATTAGATAGTAATTGTGAAATTTTGGTAATGGAATTAACGCTGCAATAAATTAAACTGCATTAAATCCAATTTTTTGTGTCGTTAATGTCACACAAAGTGCATAAATTAAATTAAAGAAAAACATTTAAGCTTAATTTATTATTCACCCAAAAGCTGATAGTCAGCAATTTATAGTTTTAAAAGTGTGTTTAATCATGGGAAATAGTGTTTACCTTTGCTTAATCTTTTAAAATCAATTTATATCGATCGATAAAGTTAACCAAACCAAAAATTAAAAACTTATAGCTAAATTACAATAGCGAAAGCTATCCCAATATACTTAAAACATCTATATGTTTGATAAGTATGCTTTATATTATATTTAATATGTATATCCTTAAAAGTATATTTCATAAGTCGTAAATAGCTATCAAGGGGAAAACATATCAAATATGTATATCGCAAACTTTAATTTATCGAAATTTCAGATATCGAAACCTATCGAATTTAACTGAAAATTATTGAAGCTATAAAATGTATTTCTTTTATTTTGCTATTAAAATGGTTTTGATATATAAAAAAGGAAATCGATGGGCATATTTTTTCGATTTACCGCATATATGCATACTAACAACATATCTTAAATATCTTTAAATATATAAAATATCTTGATATATTTAAAGTTTAAATATCAATAGCAGAATATCAGAATACATAAGAAATGCTATTTAATTTATTGGTCTAATTTTTTGTTTAAAGAAATCGATCAAATCCGATATATCAAATTTAATTTTAATTTATTTTATACATATATAGCAATTTTAAAATATCGCTTTTCATACATATTAATCGAACTTTACGTAAGATATCAGTACAGTATCTACCGTAATCTATCGATTTTTGCAGCAAATATCGAAATGGGTAATTTTTTCCATATTAAGAATGGGTTTTATATAACAGTTTGATATAAATAAATAAAATTGACACCTAAGATTTAAACATTGAAAACTCCTTCACTTATATATGTATAACATATATCTCCCGTAGCAAGTGGAGTATGAATAAACCAAGATTGGAGATCCCTGCTCTAATTAGTTAGCAGAGTGTATTTATGACTCGAATGCGACTCGGCCCAAAGACTGAAGCCTGGAACTGGCCAACAAACTTGGCAACTTGCACTTGGCAAGAGGGCCAGTTTTGTGCAAAGTGGTGGTTGCCAGTGTGCGTCGCTTCCAGGCCACTTCACTTTATTTACCGGCGGCATTAAGTGCCGAGTAGAGCGAAAACAAAGCCAAAGGCATCGAACCAGCTCCAAGTCCCTCCCGGTTCCCGGTTCCTTGTTTTTATGGCACTGCGTTTATTGAAAGGCCGCCAAGCGTCGCGACGTGCGGCTAGCAACTTGCAACTAGTCAGCAGCAGCACCAGCAGCAGCAGCGGCAACATGCAACGTGCAACGTGCAACCTGCTACTAACATTGCGTTGCGTAAGGCGTCGATGATGGTCAATGGCCATTGGCCAAGTAGGGAATCCTGCCCGGGGGGGAGGTTAATGTGGGGGAGATGGTGGCAACATCCATCCACTTCCCACCTGACCAACGCGGGAGCACACACAGGAACTGCACGGGCTCAAATACGCGGAAATGCAGGACGGTTGCCGGAGGTGTGGTAATCCGGCGAGCACTAAAAGCATTGAAAGCGCACAAATTTATTGGCGCAACTTGAGCGGAAAGGTGAGAGCCAGACTTGAACATAAAAGAAAATAGAAAGAACTCTATATATATATATATATATAAACTTTGCAGGAGAAGTAGAAAAAGGAGATATGGTTGAAGCCAGAAGTTTCCTGCACAAGTTACTCCTTAAGTAAAAGAGTTTTTTGGTCTTAAATCGATCATTAAAAGGTAACAAATTTAAAGCCACTTGGGAAAAATAAATATATAATATAACCGAGACTAATAAACGTTATTGTTTTATTCTTAAGTTATGATTACTATAAATCTTCAGTTAAGAATCATTTTTAACTTAAGAGCTACATATAATGGTTACGTTATATTAACAAAATATATATTTTTGACTAATTCTTTTATAACTTTAGACATAAAAGTCTAAATTCCTATTTTTTATGCGAAATAATAAATATTTAATGGCAAGCAGAGTTTGCTCCTTAAATAACAATAATATTTGAAAAATTACATTGTAAATGTTATAAATACAATCATAAAAGTTGACTCATAATTAATATCACATAATTTATGTAATCAAATTAAGAAGATAAAGAAAAATATCTATACAAAAATCCCAGCAACATACAGAATAAGAATTTACATATATAATTTCATTTTAAACATTTCAAGTTAATTGAATTAGAATTAATTTCAAAATTTTAAACTTGTATATAATATTTTATTAATAGCGCTACCCCACAGTGTCGAAAACGGAAAACATTGTTAAACATATAGACCTCCAACATTTAGCAGACTTTTGAATTTCCCGCCAGTCGCGCCAAATTGAGGGGCACAGCACTGCCAACTGTTAAGAAAATGCCCCGTTGTTTACAAACAAAGGCGAGCTTTTACCGGCAACTGCAATTCCATTCTCTCTTTCTCTTTCGCTATCCCTCTCTGGCCCTCATCTTCGCCGCCCTGTTGTTGTTGCTATCCCTATCCGAACCGATAATATCAGAGAGCGAGTGAGAGAGAGATTGGGAAAGAGAGCAGGGCGCATGCGCTCGAACTGTCAGAATTGCAGGCCAAAATGTAAACGAAAATCGAAGTAAAGGCAAATTCTCGAAATGCTAACATCGCATCATCCGGCAAACGGAAAAGTGTAGTTAACAAATCCAGTGGAAAACAAAAGAAAGTCCACAGCAAGCAGAATAGAGGCCGCGGCACCACAAATATAGGAAATCAACGAGTTCGAGCGCAGAGAAAAGCAAATTAAAGAAGGAAGCCAAGAAAGCTTGGCACACATTCTTCACCCACACAACACAAAACAACACACGCTCTCTCTTCTGCTCCTCACTAAATGGAAATTTTGGAAAAGTTTTGAAAACGTTGAAAATATCGGGCAGTGTGTTATGAAACCGTTGTCGCCGCGTGTGTGAGTGCGAGTGCAAGTGCGTCGTCCAGTCACTGGAATTTGGAAAGCCAAAAATAAACCAAAACCAACGCCAAAAACCGAATCAAAAACCCTGAAAAAACCAAGAGATAATTGTGCATCCCAGAAACTTCAGGTAACTGCAGGTAACCATTCATGTTCCGTTAGCAGGAGCACTGACATTTGGCCCTAATTGCTCTTGGCCAGCAGATGACTCATGCGGCATTAGTCAGTGTTGCCAACTCTCGCTCGAAATTAGATAGCTATATTTTCATAAATCTTTTAAAGCCAAAGATATTGAAATTTGCCGACAAGTTCCGTACAAAGTAGAGATAGAGAAAGAGATAAAGGTAACGATCGATATTTTTACATCACAAAATAAGTTAAATTCGAAATTTTCAAATCTTACTTCATTTAAAATTTAAAAAAAAATTCCTTGTTTCATCGATTGTTTAACATGAAAAAAAATGTCTATGCATGCGAGCGTCTATATTTTTTGTACTATTACTCAAGTTAAAAGATTACTTATAATTTTAATAAATAATGTTCATAATTTTGCATTTATATACATTAACACAAATTTTTAATTGATGATCATTAGTAAAAAAAATAGTTAATTAATATTAATTAATATGATCTAAAATCCGACACTCCATATTTGTTGGATTTAAAAAAAATATTCCGTTTATATTGATTATATATTAAAAAAAAGAAAACAAAGGAAAAAATAATTAACTTACACCCACAATATATACATATATTTGTTGGCAACAAAAGCACAAAGAAATCGTTGAAAACTAGACAAAAGATAAATGTGATTTTTAGATAACCAAATCTGTCGACAAAATCGACGAGTTAGCAACACTGTCTCGTTGATGTTGCAATTGTTTTTGTTGCTGTTTTTGTTTTGCTCACGGACATGGGCATATTTTTAGGGCCACCTTTCTCCGCCTGCCGCAGTAATACACGTACTCGCGCCTACACCCACAATTGGCCGCTGATAGATCGATATGTGTGTTATTTAGACACACCGGCCAACGGCTGGGGGCGTCATGTGATTTTGTTTGCCGGCAATGGCACATCAAACACAAAAACAACAACTACACACACTCGCACACCACTGGCGCATAAACTTATTTTCTGCAATTACGCAGCAAAAAACAACCTGAGCAACGGGAACAAAAACAAAAACAACAACGGCCGAGGCAAAAACACGATAAATTAGCTTAATCAGCACTTGGGAACCTCTGCTGGCGTCGCAGTAGCAATCGCTCCGAAACAAAAACACTGCCTACTTTTGGGCAAAGTTAGTTATTATCCGAATTTATGGACGCATCCTTTTCCAAAAGGCAATTTCCTTTTACTTTAACGATTATATACACGATACTGAAATTGTAATTCAAGAGAATATATTAAGATATATTTTTGAAATTACTTTTTTTTTAGGCCTTGCAGTGAAGTCAAAGTTTATTTAACTTCAACTAGATTTGTTAATTGATTTGAGGCAGTAATGCCCATGCCATGAATTGGTATGTTAGAAAATCACTGATTGAGTAATAATAAGATCAAAGGACATAAAAAATGATATAAGAAATATTCTCTGAACCAGAGAATTTTAATAATTCGCAGATTAGGGCTTTGGACGCTACTGGCTTACAATTAAAATTCCTAAAATATCACTATAAACAACCTTAAATTCCACAAAACGAAATAAATATTAATAAATAAATAAAACCCTTCGTAATATATAACAAATGTGTTTAATGTTTTGCTTAGAATTTAAATTTAATGACTAACAGCGCTCTTATTATCAATATTACATTTTTAAAATTAAATGAATTAAAAAATATAATAATAGTAATAATATAATAATAATAAAAATAAATAAATCCCTATGAAAAATATAGCAATATTGTTAAAATATCAAATATTTACAGTCTACGTTTTCTAAAATAACCTTTATAAAGTTAATTAATATTATTCTTCTAATTTTTTCAGACCCCTAAAAGGATCATATTTAAAGTAATCGATTGAGTACCACCAGGTATGTACGTAGTCTACTGATACGACTTTATGTCATCATTATTGATGTTGTTCATCAATCCCTCATGTACAAACTGCTGTCCTGCTTTGCTCACACACACACACACACACATACACCAAATACCTACACAAAGGCATTTTAATTTCGCACATACACACCACTGTTGGTTATGTTGGCAATGGTAAACTTACCTCGTTTAACAAACACTTTGCAGTACCGCCAATTAACAAGCAGAATCCAAAGAACAGGCACCGTAAGATATCCAACTAACACTACACCAGCAGCTGCTGCTCACTTGCGAAATTTGTCAAGGAACCAGGATACTTGCTCCTTTGCACACCGGATCCGCCCCATCCACATTCGTGGCCCAAATTGCCAACGGTGCTGCTCCTATGCCAGTTTAGGCAAAATGCAGGACACGCCCAACCAAGATGCACGGTCCCCGGATCCGCTCAAGTCCTTCGATAGGGACTATTGCGACCTGCCGCCATACCAAGTAAGTACACTGGTAAAAAACAGTCCAGGGATAATAAGAAAGAAACTTACAAAGAATTTGAAGAGAATTCAAATACAAAACAAAAGGTTTTTATTTGTTTTGAATGCTTAATATTTTAAATTGTTTAGAAAATTAAATAATAGAAACATAAAAAGTGCTTTAAAACTGGACTCGACAACTCTGGAACCTACTCACTGTCTGGTAACTCTTTCTGCAGTAATTAGCTCTTCAACGTGACACTGGTGTATATAAAATTATTTAGAACAATTTAAATTAAGGAAACAAACTAAATTTTCTTCCAATTCAAGCACGCTGTCCTCTTTCTGATTCTTCTATGGGTGTACTTTATTTTTGTTCTCTTCTGATAGCAAATTAAGGAGTTGCCATATGGCAAAAGTAAAAGATTAAACAAGATGGCAATGTTGCCAATGATCTTCCTCGATTTGACCTTGAAAAATAAATGATTTCTAAATAAAAACATTTTTTAAACACCCTCACATATTTTAAATTTAATTTAACTCAACAATTTGAAAGGAAATTGCTATTCTCAAGTTAATTACCTTTTTGCAAATATATCAATATTTAGAAAAAATATTTTTGGCACTGCACAAAAATGTGTGTGGGATCTGAGACAGCAGCATATCAATCAGTTGCAGCAAAACTCATTAAACTTGTGCCAATTGTGTCAGTCAAAAGAGGTTGGCCAGAGTTGCCACCCCCAACCATTCCCCATCCTTCTTATTCTTTGTTCCTATTTTATTGTTTTTGTTTCAAGCACTTTGATTGCTTTGCCTGCACTGCACAGCCTGCGTTCTCAATTTCTACTCATCATGGCCCCCATGCCCATATTTTCATTTTCAATTTTTCCCCAGTTTATAATCCCAACGTGTGTGTGTGAGTGTGTGGGGATATAGATAAAACTGCTTATTAACTTTGCCAATTTCGGGCTCTTGTTTTCTATTTTTCCAGAGCGACATGAGTGATTCTGCACCCAATACCCCGGGACCGTGCTCAGCATCGAACCTGCCCAAGAAGTATTACCGCCATGCGGCCCACAGGTGAGTTTAAAGAAAATCTGTTAGCCAATTTTAGTGCATTTTTGTCATAGGTCAAGGCTTTCAAATGATATATAGTTATAGTATAGTATATATCATAGACTATGCCTCAGTATAAGCTCAGTGTATTTCCCCTAAAAGAAAGCGTTAAAATTGTGCACTGAAAAAGTGAGGTATACAGAGAGACAGTTGGCAAAATGAAAAATAGTGTCTCCATTCCACGGTCAATGCCAAGTGCGAGCGCTTTTCCACCACAACCTTATCGTCTTATCTCGCTGCGAAAACAACAACAACCGTAAAAACAGCCACTAGCTAGTTAATCCACACGAAGCAGCGACTGTTGACTTGACAACCTGACGTTGCTAGCGATGTCCCATTAAATGATGGGTATATTAGTTGTTGGTTTGGGTTGTTATGTGTTTAGAACTATGTAGATATAGAATAGAAAATACATGAAAAATAATAAAATAAGCATTATATAAAATGAAAGTAAGGAAAAGCAATAGAATTCTATGTAGGTATTTAAAGTAGAGATTGTTAGATTAGGTACAATTCTTTTTATATTCATTTTGAGTAGTGCCATAATTGGATAAAATCCAAATAAATAAATCAAGAAATATACACTAATTAACCAATAAACGAATTCGAGCTTTAAGGTTTTGTACATTTTTAATTAAAAATTCTACAAATAAATTGTATCAGGTTTCATTTAAACATAAAAACTAAGTAAATATAAAATAAAAACCTTAAAATAAGACCAACATAGGACTAAACTACTTTCGTGATCACAATTTTATGCAAAATTCTTAATTTTTTCTACAAGTTTAGTATCAAAAAGGAAAACTGCCCACATGACGTATGAGTAATATGGTTTTTAGTTATAAATGCATAATAATACAGAAACTCTTTAGGAATATATAAAATATATTTTAATAATAATATGTTTATGCTACTTTCGTGATCACAATTTTATAAAAAATCTTAATTTTTTCTACAAGTTTAATATCAAAAAGGAAAATTGCCCACATGGCGTATGCGTAATATGGTTTTTTAGTTATAAACGCATTATGATACAGATGCTCTTTAGGAATATATAAACAAATTTTTATAGAACTTTTGTTTTTAATATAATATCTCAGTAAATCCTACTGCCTAAAGCTACAAGCTTATAAGATACATAACGCTTTTCGAAAAGTTTATTGTGAAATATAAGAGGTATTCGACTTGGCCAGTCCTCATTATGCCTCGTTTCTCGTCTCTTTTGCCATTTTTGTTTCTGCTGATTACAATATTTTGTGACGCTGTCCATTATCACCCGGTTTTAAAGGAGAGGGGGTGGGGTTAAGGTGGTGTGGCAGGGGGGGCACCTGAAGGAGGTAGGTGGGGCTGAGGGAGGCGACCTGAATTGCTTGTTAGGCGTAGATGCAAGTGAGTGGGCACTTTGAGGTACTCGAGTGTCAACTGCAACTGCAGACACGTACTGGCAAGTGTGTGCGTTTTTTTTTTTTGTTTATGTTTATTATACAGACATAAATACATATATCTCTAAATACATATATATTTTTCGTTGACATTGACACGCTGCAAAGTGCAAAAGAGAGAGGGACAATATAGATTCCCATAAGATTTAACTCTGGATGTGGCCACGACTCGGAAAGGTGTTAAGTGAGTGGGCAGAAAAAAGGTCGGTGCTCTGTTTGCTTATATAATACCCGGGCATTGTGATCGATAACGATCCCTATCTCTCTCCCTCTCTCTCTCTCTCTCTCTCTCTCTCTCTCTCTCTCTCTCTCTCTCTCTCTCTCTCTCTCTCTCTCGCGAGAGTTGGAAGATGAAATATGGAATGTGTGCCGGCAAATGAATATGCAAATGGCTGATGAAATATTTATGAACTTGCCGCGCCCATCGGCCATTATAATTGGGCCCATAATTAATGCATGACCATAATATCTACGGAATCATAGACCATATCATTCAGCTGCTGTCACTCTGAAGGTGTCGCCGGGATTTGCATATCAAAAACTATATATAAATACATAAATATATGTACATATATGTATATCCAGTTGAATACCGAATTTATGGGCTGTCAATAGACAGGTGGCAAGTGGAGAGCGTTCAATTTATAATCTCTGTGGTATCTCTTTGCCAGCGAAAACGCACGAAAAATTCCATTTAGCCATGTCGCGAACCCCCACGCACTGTACACTGGAAGAAATTGTAAAATCTATTGCATACATATTTGTATAATCTTTATCAGATTATTAAATTTATAATTTAGAAAAACTCATAAAGATCTTACAAAACCAGAGAGCTGGTGTGTAGTTGTTTTGTAAGATTATTGTTATCCTTCATCAGTATTCTACTGAAATCCTACAATCAATTATTGTAAAAGGTACTATTCTACAGTAATAGTAAAACGATATTTCGAAAACAAATTCCCCAAATAGCAAAACTTCTATTAAAAAAAATTAAAAATTAAGAAAATAAATGTTAATTAAGACTAATGTTTTTCCATCCCTTGAAATTTGAATTAAGACTTCTTTTCGAAAATTATTATCTGAAATCAATAATAAATTAGCTTTTTAAATTTTATCTAGCATTTATTCCCAGGCTTTTTTCGCTGTGTATTTAACTCAGTGGAACTTGTTGAATATCTTAGGGATGTGGGTCGTATTGCCATAAATAGTAAGAGCGTGCCACATAAAAAACTACACAAACTGGGCTATAAAATTATGAATTTCTAACTAAGTTACAGTCCTCGAACTAGATTGTAACTTAATTTGTTTACTTTACTTATGAAAGCTGTAATTAAAAAAGTAATATTCAATTTTGAAATTAAAAATTATAATATAATATTTTAAAGCATGTTTTAAATACTGGTATATTTTAAACTGGCACTATACTGGTAAAATTAAATTCTGAACTATCTTACTAAATTTCTCAAGTGTTGAATCGTCAAGACTTTAAATTTATTAGCATTTCGTCTTATGAGATAAGATAATATTAATTGTATTCATAATTAGTATATTAATTTTATTAAATTTATTAGCATTTCGTCTTATGAGATAAGATAATATTAATTGTATTCATAATTAGTATATTAATTGTAAGAAAACTATAATTCCCGAGTCAAAAGTTGGTAATGGATTGAAATGCAAATGAATTCATTGTAAATTTTCAAATTCCCAATAACAAACTATAATTCCCAAGTCGAAAGTTAGATGCAATACCTTGAGATAGTTTTATAGTTATAGTTGCTATTTTCCCAACCCTCGGTGTGTGCGTGAGTGTATTGACATGGTCTGTGTGTGTGCGTGTGTACATAATTTCATTTCTTCGCCACTTTCCAAGCATTTTCTGCCTGACACACTAAAATTTCCATGCGCACAAGTGGGTGTAACGGTGTACTCATTGTTGTTGTTGTTGTTGTTGGTGCTATTGTTATTGTTATTATGCCCACTGTTGTTGCTGTCTGTTTGCTGTTTGGCGTTTTGTTTTTGTTTTTAGTCTAGCCATCGGGAGCTATTTTCAACTGAGCAAGCAGGGCGTGAAGATAAAGCGGCAAAGAGAGGAGCAGGAGAAAGAGCTCCCCCCCCCAGAAAGAGAGAGTGCCGATTGGCAACGTCTGGAACATAAGTGATGGAACCATTGATACCCTTTTACACGTGACGGCCACCGCCAGGTGTCGCTGGCAACAACATCAACTGCTTTACTGATCGATAATACCTCTGCGCCAAGTGGTGGGTAGCAAAACAAAAGTAGAAAACATTTTGTGTTTGTTGCATAAAAGGCATCAAAACAACACAAGCTGAGCACGTCTACGTTGACACCTACAAAGTTTACAGCAGCAACAACAGCAATAGCAACAGCAGTAGGCTAGACAGAGAGAGAGAGTGAGCAAAGCTTTTAACGGCAACGACGCCTCTGCCGGCAGTGTAAAAACAGAGAGACAGAGTGAGAGAGAGAGAGAGAGAGAGAGAAAGAGTCAAGTCGGCGGCGCACGCTCTCCCGCTGCTTTGCCAGCGGCTCTGCCAACGGCGGCTCTGCGCCGCCGCTTCCTTCCTCAATTTCCACATTGCACTTTCAGTTGAAATTCAAACGTTGACCGAAATTGTCGAGGAAAATTGAACAAGCTCTCTCGCCTTTTTGTTTTTTCCCCCCCCAATTCTGTTTTTGTTTTGTTTTCGATCGTAAGCGCGGGCGCGCGCCTCAAAAAGTGTGCTGTGAAAACTTGAGGAGCAGAGAGATCCAAAAAACTCTGCCACGCACGAGATCATACGGATCATTCCAGTGCTGTGCTGCTAATTCGCGAACAGCTGATAAGATATTTATCGCCACTCTCTCTCTCTCTCTCTCTCTCTCTCTCTTGACACTTTCAATTCGAATTCCACTCCCACTTCTCGCTCTTCACTTCCACTTCACTATCAGCAGCGACGCGGCGAAGCATTTGTGGCCTTGTAATCCGCGGCAGCTTTAAGATGCCACAACCGAAGCAACAACAGCAGCAGCAGCAGCAACAAAAGCAAATGCAGAAGCAGCCGCTGCAGAAACATTCCGATTCCACTACCACTTCCACTTCCAATACCACTTCCAATTTGAGGTCCACTTCCAAATTCACACCAATTCCCCCCAATTCCATCACGAATTCCCAACGGGAACGGGAACGGGAACGCACACAGACCATCGGTGAAACGGACATGGATCAGTCGGTGCTCAATGGACTGGCGGCGGGCGTCGATGGCGCCGGCTACCATGGTCACAAGCGCGAGCTGGGTCACAGGTGAGCAAAGCTCTAAAAGTTAAAGCATGGAGTGAGAAAATACATATGTATTTGTTAACAAAAAACTGTAATAATTAAGACAATTTCGAATCAACTAGATTGTATGTTCAAACTCTTTAAAATCCAGCAAATATTTGTCTAAAATATATTTAGGAAACCTAAAAGATAAGCTTTTACGGCTGAATTCTTAACAATGTTCTACTATTATTACAGAAATCAT